AACAACAACAGTAGGAGGGAAGGCATCTGAGTAAAGGGGAAGTTAGATTTAATCATAGAGGACAAAAGGATGTTCTTATCTGATTCTTCCTACTTTTTTTTTTTTAATGAGTTATGAGGTAAGTTCATTAACTAGAGGAGGCTGGGAAAAGGGGATTGGATGCCAGGTTTGAAGTGGAAAGAAATGTTGTGAAATAGCTACTTAACTGTCAGACATTCAACATGCAAATGGTCCTTGTCAAGTATTGACCCAGTGTGATTTTTATTCCTCAGCCAAGAGGTTAGAGTCCTATCAGGAGGCTGTCTCTGAAGAGGAGGATTTTGCAGAGACTCTCAGCGACTCTTTAAACAACACGGCCAAACAGAAGGCCCACAGCTGCAGGACAGCTCATAATGGGCCTTTGGGAAGTAAACCCTCAAGTCATCTTTCGGGAAGCTGTTTTGCCCTAGGATGTGGAGAAGGAGCCAGTGAAGTGCCTCATTCCCGACAGGCTGCTTTCAGTAGCCCCATTGTAAGTGTGAATGCATGATTAATCTTGCACAACTGCAATGCATGATGAAAGAGCATTCTCCTAATTATGACAGAGCCACACGCTGTTGTCTTTTCTACCTCAGAAGAGACTGCTTAATTGTAGTTCAGCGTGATTAGCAGCACATAATTGGAGTTCAAACAACAAAATCACAACTTCCTAATATTTGGATATAATTCAATGTTGAAATGTAGCATATAATTTCCAAAAAATACAATATATATATATATATATATAATTTCTGGTTAGGGTCAGTCATGTCTGAGCCTGAGGAAGGTTAACTTGACCTAAGCATCCTAGAACCAAGAAAGCTTATCAGCGTTACCTTGTAGACAGGTAAATATGTCTAATTGATAGTTAAATTCAAAGGTCTTTTTGAACCCTAAAAGACTTTTCTATTTCTTGGTAGCCTTCCTCCAAATCCCACCAAGCTGATGTCCTTCTTCCCACTCCTAATCCCTAGGGGCATTTTCTAGCAGTTTTCATTTCAGAGTGCCAGGGGGGATGTGCTGAGAATGAACCATCTGGTCACATCTGTTGGCAAGTTCACTTTACAGCAGAAAATGTAGGAGGCCATATGAAAAATGGGAAGCAGAGGAAAGGTGCTTGTGTGAATGAATTTTAAATCAAGAGTTTTGCGGTATTTAAAGTTACTTCTATAAAATTGTTTCCTTTTCTGCCTTTCACATTTCATTAACTTACGGACTTTACCAGCCACAGCACTAGTAACTGGTTGGTGACCTCGAAAGTAGCTGACCTGCCAAGAATAAATCAGCTTTGGGAACCCTGGTGCTTCCACATTGAATTTATTATGTGATTTTTTTCCAGTGAAAACGTGGTATGAACAGACCCCAGGGGTTTTATTAATCCTGAAAAGGCCCTGAAGGAAGCCTTCAGACTCTTTTCAGAGTTGCCAGTAAATGTACAGTTGCAGCAATGGAATGGCTGTTTCAGCTGAATTGCACTGACTTCTGTGGCACATAAGATATTTAAGCTTGTTGCCTCATCTCTTTGCTGTACATCAAACCTTTTAAACACTAAGAGTTAATACTTCTCTGACCTCCGAAATAAGAATGGAGTGCACACAGTCCCAGCTCTGTACTCATTCTAATACTATTCAGATATATGAGAACTTTTCTTATATTTTAGCTTTTTTGTTGTATTGTTGATGTTTCACCCACCGGAAGTTAGCTACATGTTGAATGGCTAGTCAGAGGAGAAAGATATTGGAAACCAGCCTGGCCTGTGCCACACCCTCCCTCTTAGTTTCCTGATCCAGCCTCACCCTCATCTTGAATGAAGCCTCCCAAGTAACAAATGATTTACCTCTTAGTTTCATGGTTTTGTACCTTCTCTGTGTCATTTCCCCTGCCTAGAATGTATTCTTCACTCATAGCCCATCTCTATCTGCTAGGCCTGATATCCTAAATACCATGTTTTCTGAAAAGTCTTCCCAAACATTTCTTTCTCTCTTCCATTTCTATTTACATATGTAAATGTGGTCTGGTTTCTGCCTCTGACATTGCACCATTAGCCTCTTAAGAGCAAGTATTTATTTGTCTTTGATCCTCAACATCCAGCATGTTGTTGTTGTTATGTGCCATGGAGTCGGTTCTGACTCATAGTGACCCTGCACAGGGTTTCCAAGGCTGTAAATCTTTACGGGAGCAGAAAGCCTCATCTTTCTCCCGCGGAACAGCTGGTAGTTTCGAACTGCTGACCTTGCGGTTCACAGCCCGATTCGTAACCACTACACTACCAGAGCTTCAGCATACTGTCTGGAATATTCACTGTTGATGAAGGTTGTTGAATGAAGTTGCTTCGGAGCCTCAGAGTGTCCATTCAATTTTGTTTTCACATGCCCTGTACTGCAGTGCTGTGTGTTCATTCTGATCATATGGGGTTTCTGTTGTTCTATGTTCTTTAAAGCTACACCACTATATTCAGGATATGAGTAAAATTTTGTTAAAGATTATATAGAAACGGCTGCAACCATACATTGACAGAGAACTTCCAGAGCTTCAAGCTGGATTCAGAAAAGGACGTGGAATGGTCTTTTATGGTCTTCCATATTCATTGTCCAACTCTCATATGCATGAGACAACTGTTAATAGCATGGTCTGGGTCAGGTGCACCTTAGTCCTCAAGTGATGTCATTGCTGACATCAGATGGATATTGGCTGAAAGTAGAGAACATCAGAGAGATATTTACCTGTGCTTTATTTACTATGCATAGGTTTTCAATGGTGTGGATCATGACAAGGTATAGACAACATTGTGGAATAACTAATTGTGTCATAAGAATTCTGGAATACCTAATTGTATCATAAAAACTTGTACATATACCAAGAGGCAGTTGTTCAAACAGAACAAGGGAACACCAAATGGTTTAAAATTAGGAAAAGTGTGCACCAGGGTTGTATTCTTTCACCATACTTATTCTACCTGTATGTGAGCAAATAATCCGAAAGGTTGGGTTATATGAAGAAAAACATGGCATCAGGATTGGAGGAAGACTTATTAACAACCTGCGATATGCAGACGATACAACATTGCTTGCTGAAAGAAAAGAAGACATAAAATACTTACTGATGAAGATCAAAAACCACAGCCTTCAGTATTGGCTGCACCACAATGTAAAGAAAACAAAAATCCTTACCACTAGACCAATAAACAATATCCATACAAATGGGAAAAAGATTGAAATTATCAATGACTTCATTTTGTTAGTGTCTACCATCAACACTCATGGAAGTAGCAGTGAAAAAATCAAACTATGTATTGCATCAGGCAAATCTGCTGCACTAGTCCTCTTTTAAAGTGTTGAAGAGCAAAGATGTCAGTTTGAAGATTATGGTGTGCCTGGCCCAAGCCATGGTATTTCCAGTAACCTCATATGTATGTTGGATAGTGAATAAGGAAGACCATAGAAGAATTAATGCATTTGAGTTATGCTGTTGTTGGAGGAGAATATTAAAAGTATCACAGACTGCCGCAAGAACAAACCAATCTGTGTTGTAAAAAGTGCAGCTGGAATGCTCCTTAGAAACCAGGATGGCCAGACTTCATCGCTTAACACTTTGGGCATAATGTTAGAAGGGATCAGTCTCTGGAGAAGGATATCATGCTTGGTAAAGTGTAGGGTCAGAAAAAAGAGAAAAGACCTCCTACGAGATAGATTGGCACAGTGGCAGTAACAGTGGGCTCGAATGTAGCAATGATTGTGAGGTTGGTGCAGGACTGGGCAGTGTTTCGTTCTGTTGTGCATAGGGTTGCTATGAGTCGATTGTACCTAACAGCAACAACAGCAAGATCCAAATGATAGACAGTAGTGACTCAGTAGCTACTGTTGTAGCCATCCATACAGGAAATCCAGATTCAAATGATCAATGCATCTTACTGATGAGTAGCCACCAGTCATCTCTTGGTTGAGACTTGCGTGTTGCTATGATGCTGACCAGATTTCAGCAGAACTTTCAGACTATGATAGATTAGAAAGATGGGTCTAATGATATTATTCCCAAAAATCAGCCAATCAAAATCTATGTATCACAGTGATCCCATCTCATTGTGCATGGGATCACCATAAGTCTTGAGTCAGGGGCCAACGAACACAAAGGCAGAAACAACAGACACACAAGTAGGATGGAGTTGTCATGATATGAGATCATCTCGCACTTGTATTCTAGACAAGTTGATTTTATCCTTTTGGGGAACTAAAGATTACATTGAGAAAGCCATAGGTTCTTTGACCTGATAATGAATTTATATTAAAAATTGCATGGTGATGGTGGTGGTTCTATGCTGTTGAGTTGGTTCCATCTCATAGCGACTCTGTATAGGGTTTCTGAGGCTGTAAGTCTTTATGGGAGCGGAAAGCCTCATCTTTCTCCTGTGAAATGACTGGGTGGATACAAACTGCAGACCTTAGTTAGCAGCCCAACTCGTAATCCACTGCACTACCAGGACTCCTTAAAAAAATGGCCTACAATCCTAAAAGCCCATTCATAGTGCCCAGTTTAAAAACACCAGTGTGGAAGAACACTGAGAGGTATAATGTCTAAGAAATGGAAGATGGTAATACTGGAAGATGGAGAGGTAAGTTGAGACCAGAATGCTAGGGTCTAAGTGTGGATAGTCTCTGGGAGTTAGATTTTCATGAAGACCCATGACTTCTAGGTTCATGTTACTTAATTTACGAATAGAAGCCTTTACTTTGTAAGCTAGAATGTGCTTGAGATTTGTATGTTCTTCTAGTTTTTTTCAGTCAACCCCATGTCGTTCATTCCACCTGGAATGCTTTTCTCTTAGATTTTTGGGTGTTTGTCTCCTTCCCATTGTTGAGGTTTTCGCTGTGAAGTCTTCCTTTCCACCCACTCCAAGTAATTTCCATCCACTCCCTCTAATCTCTGTCTTTCCCAATCTTATTGTTTTCAGTTGCCATTGAGTTGATACTGACATGGGCATGGTGACTACATATGTAATATGTATCAGAGTGGAACTGTACTCCATACAGTTTTCAATGACTAATAGTTCAGAAGTAGATTTTTCACATCATTTTCTAAGGTATTTATAGGTGGATTCAAAACTATCTACCTCTCAGTTAACAGTCAAGCATATTAAAAGTATCTCAATCTAGAAGTCCTATAGGATAAGCACTGGATTGCTAACCACAAGATTGTCAGTTCCAACCTACCACCCACTCCTCAGAAACTATATATAGTGTCACTATGAGTCGGAATCAATGTGGCGGCACTTAACAAAAATGATAATCTAAACAGAGCTTAATTTGTTTGTTTGCTGATTACTTTTATATGCTGTATATTCCCCAATTAGAATGTAAATTCCATGCAACCCAGGAAATTGCTTTATATACCAGGTTTGTAGAGAAGTGACTGGTATCATAGATGAATAAGAAATATTTATGGGATGAATCCATGAATTAATTAATTAATGTACAAGAATACTGTAATATGAAGGTG